GAAATCTACAATATTTGGTTGCAAAGATAAAGGGTAACAAATATCAGAGTTTGTTGCAAAAATTTAATTCCTTTAACGAGAATTAAAATGTACTTTAAAAGAAAAAATATCTTTTGATTAAAAAAGAACAATTCAACAATATCCGTCCTTCAACAATGGAATATTCTAGGACTCTCGGATGCATATTTACAAAGTTGTACAGTTTGTAAAAATAACAACACTCAACACAAATACAGTACATTTCGGAACATTTTCACATTAAATGTTTTCAATCAATAGCCTTGAGAATTCAGAAAGATAATAATATTTTTCTAAACTAACCATAGTAGAATACAATTTCTACAATAACTCTTCCCCCCCCCCCCCCCCCCCCCGAGTTGCGCCTCTGTATTGTCCTTGACGAAAGGTTATTTTTCTTCACATTTGTTTCGCCTAGTTCTAACATGTTCTCATCTCAACTCTCTTTCTAGCTTTAAATCTGTTCTGATTTCTGTTAACCTCTTTATTTTTTCCTTTCTTTTATTTCTGATATCTTTGTCACATATTTTCAACATGCTATTCTTTTATCTTTATAAATTTCTTGTCTTCTTATTTTTCCTCATTTCTTCTTATTGTCCACTCTTCTTCTTCTTCTTCTTTTCTCTCTTTTTACCTTTTAAATAAAAAATGAATTTTTTTCCTGGGCTCTTATCTCTTTTAACATGAGCTTGAGTCGAATTTTACAGAATTTGCAGAAACTGTATAAAAGACGACATGAAATTCAGCTGGAATCTGATTGATTTGTACTCAAGAGATTATACAACTCCCAGTTTCAAATATATATTTTTAAAATCTTTTATATAAAATACATAATTTTGTATTAAAAAATAAGTGTTTCATTCTTCAGGATACTAATTTGGCAAAGAGAATAGATTATACTTAGAGTGGAATTTAAACAATCCCTTGGTATGAGTTTTTTCAGTCCCTTGCAGTCTGTAAGGCCGGGGGTTCAAATTGTACAATTCATATAAATGTGATCACAAATTATATGCAGTGCATGACACTAATACAGTATGATTCCTGGACATATCCATTCAAATTTCTTTGTTTTATAAAGTTGTTTAATAACTTTAAACGTGTTTATTCGCTATTGGTGAATTAAAATCATTATTTTATTTACCATTAAAATGTAAAAATCGTCGTTTTGGTGAGCAAAATATTATCTCTGTGTCTGCACTTTTCAAGGATTTCCGATCTTTTATTTAAAGGAAAATTTGAAATTTGCTATCATCAGCTGCTGAAAACCCGAGCCTTGAAAAAAGAAAAACCTAAGCTGCAGTTGATTTTTACTAAACTCAATTTTTTTAAACACCCGGGTCTTCACTTGAGCTTTACTTGGGTCTAAGCAGACGCAAAGACCGGGTTTTACTCGGGTTTAAGCTTTTAAAATCTCATAGTTTACAAGATTTTATGGCAGAATTGTATGATATGCCTTTGGCTAAGACAGACCAGTTTTTCTCAAATGAAGCATTTTTGTTTTTATTTCCCGGTTGTGTTTTGAAAGACTGGCGCTCAGCTGTTGTTTTTTGACCCAGGACCTGTTTCTGATATCTTTATATAATTTACTTTAACAGACATTCTCCGCGTAGAGGGCAAGATTGTACAACTTTTCTGCAATTACAGTTGGGTGCAGTTGTTCTTAGAGTATCTACTTGATGTTCTCGTAATATCTGCAGGAGCCAATATAAGAAACACATGATTTGAAGTTTTATTGTATCTACAACATGTTTCATGCTATGATTATAAATTATTTATAATTCATTTTTATATATAATTTATATTTATCAGTTGGGGTACTCTAACACATTCTCGTCCTTAACCCCGAGCATAAGGGGGTTTTGGGCGTTTTTTTGCCTTATAGAAAGCGAGCATTAGGCTTAATGCTCGTTTTCTATAAGCCAAAAAACGAGTATTAGGCTTAATGAGGGGAGGAAGGTCAACCACAATAATTTCTCGTCCAAGCCACATTCTCCTCATTTTCTCGTCCGATCCACCTCGGAATCCTCGTTCCTTCGATTATTTTGTGCTAAAAAGTTTCCAATTCTTGATTCTATTTTTTAAAAATCTGGCCACGTTACGGCATAACATATGGATGGACTTTAGTATTGCAATGATTATATCATGTTGGAGTTTTCAAACCCATGAGAATGATGACAAACTTTATTTAGGTAAAACTTAAATCTCTTCTGCCTCCGTAATAGGTAACCTTCGTGATATAAAATAAATAGCAAAATATTCGGCATACCTCTGCCTGTAAGTTTCCACATGGAACCACCAGGAAAAAATCTATGGTTTTCATTATAGTTAACAAAAAAGATTGACGTTCTAGCTCAAGACCTTTCAATTCTCATAAAGGACTTGAGCTATAGATATAGTTTTCTGTCCATAAAAAGGACTTGTTTGTAAGAATTTGAAGGACTTAAGCTATATGGTTTTAATTATAAAAAAGGACTTAAACTAATTTTTTTTTTAAATGTAAAGGACATAAGCAATAATTTTCAAATGATTTAAAGGACTTTAAAACCAAAAAGCAATATTTTTTGAACTTTTAAAGCTATGTCTTTTTAAGAATTCAAAGTACTTGAGCCATAATATTTCTGATGATTTAAAGCAATTTTTTTAAGTAAAAAGGACTTGAGCTTAAATGTTCTATATAAAAAAGGTTTTGAGCTTTTTAAAATATAACTAGCAATAGAACTGAAAGGCTTCTTATCTTGCCCCTTAAGCTTACAAAACAAAAATAATTTTTTTAATGATATGAAATGTAATAAAGCGATATAAATGAACAGTTTTATTGGGCTTAAAAAGACTTCAGTTTTATGATATGAAATAATTTTTACTGTTAAACTTGCATTTAGGTTGAACTAAAAAAAGAACTTGTTATTGATATCCTGGACCTTTTACAGCTTACAATTTCAAGGCAATTATCGGTTTTCAAATCTGATTTACACATTATGTTGTACATTATCAATTATGAATTTAATAAATAAGATGAAACAAATTTTGTGTACACAGCTGTTTTTTTTGTGGCCATACAATTGATTTATATTTTAGATACATATAGACAGATAAATATATTTTATATATATTTTTTAGAAATAAATATAAGAAAGTTATTTATTTTATATTTAAGGATCAAGTCTGATATCCGGCTGAGACGAACCCTGGTAACCATGAACTTTTTTTGCCATGATTTATCCTTACATGTATTTTTATGGATCTGTTATTGCTAACATAACTTTTATAACTAAAATTGTTTTAGAAACTAAGATCGTTTTCTGATAATATGCATGTTTTTTACGGCTCAGCTACATTTTGCCTAGTCACAATTTGCCTAGTCACATTTTGCCTAGTCACATTTTGCCTAGTCACATTTTGCCTAGTCACATTTTGCCTAGGTAACAGTTTGCCTAGGTAACATTTTGCCTAGTAACATTTTGCCCAGGGTAACATTTTGCCCAGAGTAACAAAAGAGCGAATTTTTTGCCTAGTCAATAATTTTTTCACAAAGAAATTTTCATCAATCCGAGATTTTTTTTCAATAATCCGAGATTTTTTTTTTAAATCCGCAAATTTTTTGGCAAAAACTTCGCAAATTTTTGAAAATCATTCAGTTTCCTTTAACTCAATCAGAAGGAGAGACACATTGAAAATGGCTCCAATGATAACTGCAGGGCTTACCAGGCGGGGTAAGCCCAACTACAGAGATAAGAATAACTTCTATTATGTTTTCAATGGGGAGAGGGCAGAGACCAAGAATTGGCGCTGTTCCCAGAGATCATGCACTGCAACCCTAACAACGAGGATATCTACTGGAAACCTGGTAGGGGATGTACTCCCAACTCATGGCCATACCAACAAGCTGCTGAAGACGAAAGCTAAGACCACAGAAAAGGCTGTGATTGAGAAATATGCCAATGTTCAAGGAAAGCAGAGATCAAAGGACTCCAGACAGAGGGTGAAATTTGTTGTAGAAGCTTTCCATACCATGCCGAAAGCTGATTATATCCAAACCCTTGCACATGACCAGCAGAAGATAAATAATGATAAATAAAATGTATTTAAAAAAAATATATATATATATCTGATACATAACCATATTTTATCTTTTGTAGAGTGACAGGAATGTTAAAATTGCTGTACAGAATACAATTCAATTCATTAATTTTAATTCATTAAAATTTATTGGTTAAACTTAAAAAAAATGTTTAATTCTTGACAAAATTTGTTTTTTTTATAAAAAATTATTGACTAGGCAAAAAACATGCTCTTGCGTTACCTAGGCAAAATGTTACCCTAGGCAAAATGTTACTAGGCAAACTTGAACTAGGCAAAAAGTTACCTAGGCAAAATGTTACCTAGGCAAAAGTGAACTAGGCAAATGTGACTAGGCAAAATGTGACTAGGCAAATTGTGACTAGGCATAATGTAGCTGAGCCTTTTTTACATTTACGTAATGTGAGTTGTAACACGACGTAAAGAAAAAGGGGAAGTTTACAATTAATTTCTTTGAGATGTTTAAACATGTTATAGCTTGGTGGTGTGCCATATGTTGATAATTACCCGAGCTGTCAGTATATTTTGCTTAGTTTACTATAGTTGTAAACATATTGCTGAAAATCTTCACACCATTTTTAAGATGTCTGCTATCTTCTTTAATTTTTTTCTTTAAATAAAACTGCGCTACAACTCATCTTTTAAAGGGGGAATATTCACAAATATCAAAGGTTTTGAAATCTTCTACTTAAAGTGGTTCAAAAGTATTGATACTCTCTGGAAAACTACAGTAAAACTAATTTTTGTTCGTGAGGGTTAACAGTTTAAAATAAAAGTTGTAATCGTCTTAACATTGTTTTTTTTTATTTAAGAGTATAAACAATGTGTTATATTGTCAAATTCGTAAAATATTCACAAAATCCTGAAATTTGACGAGAAACCAGTGTTTTCTTACAACAATTTTAGATTCTTCGACTGAAAGATGACGCAATGGTGGGAGCTTTTTTGATTAGAAACTTTGGGGTTTCCTAATTTCTACATTTTGTAGGTTGGATGCAACCATGTTGCAAGTCGGATGCACATATTTTGTAAGTCGGATTCACAATTTTTGTTGGTCGGATGCATACATGCATACATTTTGTCTTGATTAGAATATGTTCTGCTACAAGATCACCCATATATGTTCAGTGAATTCTCCTTTTTCTTCATTATTTGAATTAAACCTAAATAATATCTATTTATGTCATTGTAATGAGTATTATTAAGTGCGAAAAAGTTTTTGCCGGGATTTTTATTTTGATCGAAAACAAACTAGAAAAATAAAAAATAACAGCAAAATCTTTTAGGGACGCATGATACCCATTTCAATAACATATATAGTTTTATTCAGTTTTACTCAAATTATTTAAAAAAAGGTCGATAACAGGGGCGTACGAGGGCTTTTGTTTAGGGGGGGGCAGAATTTGCGCGCGTAAGCGCGCAAACAAAAATTTG